CCCCAAAACCCCAAAACCCCAAAACCCCTTTTTAAGAGAATTGCATTGACGTAATTTAAATAATTTCTCAAAATGGAAGAGGAGAAAAAGAATACTGAAACTACAATTGATGTTGAACTTCAAAATGTAAAGGAGCACTTCGCAACAGGAGTTTCCAAGAATATCAGCTACAGAAAACAACAGTTGAGTAACCTCATTAGGGGTCTGAAGGATATGGAATCTGAATTTTTACTTGCCCTTAAGTTAGATCTTCAAAGATCAGAATATCTATCAAAAGTGATCGAGTACCAGCATCTTATCTCAGAAGCTCAGCATATTAAGAGCAATCTAAGTAGTTGGGCTAAGGCAAAGAACGTTCCAACTCCAATGTTCATGACTCCTGCCTTGAGCTATGTCAAATATGAACCTTTGGGAGTGGTTTTGATCATGAATGCCTGGAACTATCCTCTTATGGGAGCCATTCAGCCTCTTGCAACTGCTATTGGATCTGGAAATATGGCGATCATCAAGACATCAGAGGTTGCTAAAAGCAGCTCTAAGGTGATCGTAAAGCTTGTCCAGAAATATCTTGATAAGAAGGCTTACAAAGTAATTGAGGGAGAAGTAGAAGTATCTAAAGAAATCATCACAAAACCATTCGACTTAATTGCATTCACAGGATCATCAGAAAAAGGAAAGCTCGTGGCTGAGGCTGCAGCTAAAAATTTGACTCCTTGTATTCTTGAATTGGGAGGAAAATGCCCGGCAATTATTGATAAGTGCGCAAATATTGGCCATGCTATCTCTAAAATTCTAGTAGCAAGGTTCTCTAACTCTGGGCAAACATGTGTAGCTACAGATTATGTGCTTGTCCATGATGACGTATCTAGCGGATTCAAGAAAGAATTTACTGAGAGACTTGTTAAAGAACTCAAGAATTCGCAATCTACACCAGAAACTTCTCTTGACTCAGATAAAGGAGGAATCATCAATGAAATACATGTTGAAAGGATTAAGGGATACCTCTCTGAGAACCATGAGGGCAAAGTATTATGTGGTGTCAAGAACCAAGAAGACCTTAAGAAAATTAAGCAGAAGTGGATCCCACCTACCATCATTGAAGATCCCAGCTTAGAGTCAAAGATCATGACTGAAGAGATTTTTGGCCCAGTTTTGCCCATAATTTCATACACTGATATTGAAGAAGCAATCAAATTCATTAACCAAAGACCTAAGCCTTTGGCTGTGTACTACTTCGGATGCCCATTCAGAGGAAACGGAAAATTAGTCAGAGATTCTACTTCTTCTGGAGCTTTTGTTCAAAATGAAGCTGCTTTCCAAGCAGTCCATCCTTATCTCCCCTTCGGAGGAGTTGGTGAGAGTGGATATGGTTCCTATCATGGAGAATTTGGTTTCAAATCCTTCAGTCATCCCAAAGCTTGTATGACCAAGCTTCCATTGAATTTCTATCCATTCAACGTAGCTTCCTATCCTTTCACTGGTCTGAAAGAATTTACTGTGATGATGTTCCTAAAGTTCGGTCAGATTGGCCAGAAAAAGCTTATTAAGAGAATCATCCAGCTTCTCATTCTCTTCTGGATCATCAAAGGATTCGCAACAGGTACCTTCCAAAAGAAATGGAGAGTGTACAAACCTATGATCATGATGGTCTGGGGTATGGTCAAGCCAAAGTTCCTTAGATAATTTAGTATGATAAGATATCTTAGGAGAAAAATCCAGTTATAATCAAGTAGACTCGATCTTTGGCATTCAATTTTTTGCGCCAATGTTTCAAGTCTTTTACTTTCTTGGTTGTGAGTCCTCGACAGATAATAAGGTTGATAATTTTTCTCAAAGGTATTATCTTTAGCTTTATTATCTCTATTTTGATAGATGTTCTAGTTTCTATCTTATGCTCAAGAGCAAAAATTATTTCCTATTAGGTTGGGACTTAATAGTATTAATCTGAAGATGATTGACTAAATTCGATCTAACTAGTTACTTAACATCTTAGATATTCTTTTTAGCTTTCAACTTTGAAATCGAATAAAGGGGTTTTGGGGTTTTGGGGTTTTGGGGTTTTGGGG